CAGCCTATAAAATGCATTAGCAGTCTAAGGTAATGGCAGGGCTGCCCCAGGCAGCATGTGTCGACAGCTATGGGTGCGAGCTGTGAGCATCAGCTGGACCTCGGGTCTTCAAGAGGTGGAGAGGGGAGGTTGGGCCAGGCACAGGAGCATGAAGGGAAGCTAGGCAGGGGAGGTAGAGCCCACTCAGCTGAGCAGAGAGTTCAGGAAAGGGGGTGGTCTGGACATGGGTTTACAAAGCTGGGTGGGGTCAAGCATGGGGCTGAGAAGTCCCCACCCCAGTCCCTGTCCTGTAGTGCTTGCTCTGGGCCCCACACCCCCAGCCTCCTGGGGCACTGCTCAACACTGACTCTGAAGCCAAACCCTGGCTCTGTCACTTGCCAGATGTGTGGCCTCCCCATACCTCAGTTTCCTCACCTGTAAAATGGGAGTGATAATGTGATAATGGTACCTCCCTCCCAGGGCTCTATGCCAAGTAAATGGTTTAACATGCATGAAATACATAGTATTGTGCTTGGCACACAATGAGCACTATGTACAGGACATGCTAGCCACCACTGTCATTGCTTAGAGGCCTTGAAGGAGTTCACAGAACAGGGATCCCTCTTGCAGGTGGCAGGAGAGACCATGGGAACCCAGCGCCTGGCTTTGAGAAACAGCCTCTTGGCTATTCTTTTAAACCCAAACAGAGCCTGTGCAGCTCCACGGCCTGACACCCACTCTCGCATGCACAGCCAAGTTCTCTACGGGAATCACCAGCCCCGTTTGCAGGCTGACACATGCCTGGAATCTCCAGGACGTTTCTCGGAGAGAACACAGAGGCATGTCCTCTGCACCAGTTCCCAGGACACAGGCTTCCTGCTTGACAAAGGGCACCTCAGCCCATCATCCCTTCAAGGCTCCCCTCTGCCCTCAGAGAGCTGGTCCAGGAGACACCTCAGGGAGATACCAGGGCCTTGAGCAGGTGAAAAGGTCGGGGGAGGGTGAGGTGGCTCGTGATGTTTGGAGTCATGATATCGCTGTCTCAGCACCAAATTACTCTTAATTCACATTTATTTTCATTAATGGCTATGATACTTTCTGGGTATAAATGACCCTAGTTATGTGTCGTGAAGACTAGTGAACAGATATGATGTTGATGGGAGGGAGCAGGGGAAAAAGAGGAATTGGTAAAGGGACACAAAAGTCAACTACATTGTATATTGATACATTAAAATTTTTTGAAAATATTTTTTAAAAATGCCCTAGTTACATAATGAACGTGATATGCCTTTGGAAGACCTATCTGTTTACTGAAGGAAAATTCTTTTCAGGGTGAGGAAAGTGCAGTCCTGCAGAGAGGAACCCTGAGATCCATCTCGAGGCTGAGCACGAGTGTCTTGTGCTTTCCTAAGGTGGAATTAGCAGCTGCGAGGACCTCGGGCCAAAACCAGATGTTTCTACCAGTGGAGTGAGCAGGAGAATTTCTTTCACATGGAACCAGAAGCACACACCAAATTATCCTTGAATTCCCAGGCGAAGGCTGGATGCTCCACCCCTTTCTTCTGGGGTGACTAGCAGGTCATGAGAAGGCACCAGGCAGATGAGCCCCCATCCCTGCTTCATAACTGCTGCCTGGGTGGCTCCAGCCACCTGTCCAGTCACTACCCAAACTCCCAGGAGGGTCCCAGCTCCTTCAGCACATGTTCTCCGTGGGCCTTCTCAAGGGCAGGTACCAGGATGCAGTGGTGAGCCAGGGGCTGGCCTGTGCCTCTCTCTCCCCAGGCCCCAGGCTGAGGACAGACCCCAAGAAAGCTAGGGATGAACCACTTCCAAGCATCTGAGTGTGTTTTAAATGA